TCACAGGAAAATGGGCATACAGCAATAAGGAACTAGTTGAAATAATGGCTGAAACTTTACTTTCTTTACTTTTACATTCTTGCTATGATGATACATTGTGGAAAATGATAACTTACTAGTGCTAGAAGGCTGTTTAGCATGTATGTATTTTTATACATGACTATAGTCATGACTATAACTACATGCTGACCTTTAACTTGCAAACAATGATAAATTACAAAGACTCACTGTGAGGGATTGTCTTCAGAACTGTAATGGGTTTGTTTTTCATTATGGAAACATAGAATGGTTTGGGTTGGAAGGGACCTTAAAGATCATCTGGTTCCAACCCCCCTGCCATGGGCAGGGGCACCCTCCACTAGACCAGGTTGCCAGGTTGCTCAAAGCCTCGTCCAGCCTGGCCTTGAACACTGCCGGGGGGGGGGCATCCACAGCTTCTCTGGGCAACCTGTTCCAGTGTCTCAACACCCTCGTGGTGAAGAATTTCTTCCTTATATCCAGTCTAAATCTACCCTCTTTCAGTTTAAAGCCATTGCACCTTGCCCTGTTACTACAGGCCTTTGTAAAATGTCCCTCTCCAGCTTTCTTGCAGTCTCCCTTCAGGTACTGGAAGGCTGCAATAAAGTCTGCCTGGAACCTCCTCTTCTCCAGGCTGGACAGCCCCAGTTCTCTCAGCCTGTCTTTGTAGGGCAGGTGCTCCAGCCCTTTGATTGTCTTCGTGGTGCTCCTGGACTCACTCCAACAGATACATGTCCTGATGTTGGGGGCCCCAGGGATGAACACAATACTCCGGGTGGGGTCTTACAAAACCTTATAACATGCCTGCCATGCTGTTAAGCAGCTTGGGGATTTAGTGTATGTGTACAACTTCTAAAGCTGAATACAGTTTCCCTGCACAAAAAATGTTTAATTGTCTTATTCCTGTAATGATCTTGCTTATTCTTTTACCTAAAGTAAAATTGGTAGAGTTAAAAACCTGCTAGGAAAATTTTGGTATTTATTGGGACTTAAATGGCTGTTATTGTAGAATCTTGAGATGAGGAAATCAATGCATCAGTGAAAAACTTGAGTTGTGAATTTACTGTAGTAACTTCTTCTCCTGAGGAAGATACTCATATGGTTCTTTAAAATATAGCTATACAGCTATAAGCACAGCTGAATGAACTCTGCATTTATCAAGCAGTGAACTTTGCACAGAGCAGTGTTTATTCTGTAGTATATTGGAATTATCTTGTTGCTTAAAAGGAAACAACATAATGGAAAATAGTTATTTCTAGAGTGGAATCCCTTACAGATGAAATGGGAAAGCAGTGCACTTGGAGGGAAGAATATTACTGCTGAGGAGGAAAAAGAAGGCATGAAATGGTTGAAACTTGGAAGAGAGGGTTTAAGAAGCTGGTGGTTGAGTCAGAAATGGGTTCTAAATCTGGATGGATTGTTTTTATGATTAAGATCAAAATAACTTTCTTGCATCAAAGACAAATTAGAATTATCTGGAATTTATTTGCCTTTACATTATTATATGTAGCAGGTGAATTTTTAGGCAACTAACAGTGAAAGCTTTTATTTCATGCAGACATTTAATTTTGATGTTCGACAACTACACTGGGCAGAATACATGGAAAATTACTGCATGGGAACGAAGAAATATGTGCTAAATGAAGAAATGTCTGGCCTTCCTGCAGCTAGGAAACACTTGAATAAGTAAGTAAAAATTCTTATTTTCCTCTGTTCTTATTTTCTGTGTTTTCTTGCCCTTGTCAAGTTTTGCTTTTCCATGTTATGGCTTAATTGTTCTTTATAGCACCTGTTGAGGTCCTCCAGAATTACTCTGTTCCACTCTAGTTGTCTGAAGTGTTTTCTAAAGAAGTCAGATGTCATCTTTCTTGTTCTGTTTGTTGCTCTTGAGTTGCTCTCAGTATTAATAGTTACAGTATTAGTCTGGGATTATGGTTGTAGCTCTGATTGCTAGTGTATACTGTAATCCAGGTTTTTGATTTTACACAAGTATCTTTTGGAAGCTAAAAAGGTTCACAGTAACAAAACGTCAGAATGGCTTGCGCAGTTAAGAGGTTTAAAAGAACAATAATTGTTTGTTCTGGGAATGAGATCTTTTGAAGCAGGCGAGTAAACAGGTATGGACTCTTCACCTTGAAGCAGGAAGCTTTGATGTCTGTACTCTAAGATGTGTTCTCTTAGCCTTTTATCTGTGGCTTAACTCCTCCAATTTGAATGCATTGTTACTATACAGAATTTTACTGGCATAGTTGCCCTTCTTTTGTTCTTGGCTGATTCATAAAGACAGTTGTAGACTTTTTGATTTGACTCTTTAAAAGAGTGAAATAAGTGATTGATCTTGTTCTGCAATACTATTTCGCATCTGCTATCCTGATAGCACAAAGAGAAGTGGTCTAGATCATTACTTGTGTCCTGCTTCTAAAGACAAGGGTTTGCAGTTGTAGAGCGGATTGGGGTGCTATGTTACAACCTGAAATATACTTTTGAAAGATGGTAATCTTTGATAATGCTGGGGATAATTGAAGAGGTGTCCCCTTCTGACTTTTTTTCATGTTGATTTAGATGCTATTAAAAAATGCGTAGGGCTTGCCATACAGTTGCCATTCTTTCTACAAAGGGTGATACCAAAAATAACATGCAGAATAGTCTTGTACTGGAACAGCATGTGGTTGCCCCCAGCTCTCAGTTGAAGTGGGTTGTTTTGCAAGAGGTTTAGATTCTAACATATACTTACTCTGAGGTATTAAGTTGGTCCTTCTATTACCATCTGGCTCTTAACTCAAACTAATCTGAACTTGAGGAGTCCATTGCTTCAATATTAACCAGATGTGGCAGCGTAGCTGACCTGGCTTCTCTGGGAAACTACTGAGTAGAATTTCTTCCTCAAATAGAAAAGTGGGCTTTACTTTTCTAATACAGAAATTTACACTGTTTTTTCTACAAATAAGGTATGCAGAGGAAGGTCTGGCTATAGTAACACCTAGCCTACCTGTAAAACAAGATAAGGGCAGTGAGTATTTCCTTAAAAAGAGCTGCCTTTACAATACAGATTGTCATGATCTACTGAACCAAAGAGATTGCTTTATTTCTAAGAAATCTGAGCAAATTCTTTCTGTCTTTATATGTGAGAAGATTGCTAAAAATCACAGTTGCCCTAAAAGGACAGTTAACCTTCTCCTAATCTTTAAATATAGCTCCCTTAGAAGGAAGGATGCAGTGAAGACTCCTGGCTCTGGCTGGAAAATCCTGTGATGTCTGTTGTTGGGTTTTTGGTTGTTGGTGTTTTTTGTCAGTGGCAGTTGGAGTTACTTCTACATATATATGAAGTTTTACATGAGGGGAGGGGAGTTCATAGTTCTAAATATTTCCTTATTTTTTGGCGTAGGTGGCAGCCTTCTACAGGAAAGTTACCATGTATGTGACATTGGCTTTAAGAGGTTTTTGTCAAGCAGCTATAAAGGAGAAGTACGTGTGGTTAGCTACAGGGCTGGCTCTGCTGCTTAGTTTTCATGTGTTCCATTTTTCAGCAGTGAGCTATGGAAAAGCCTTTTCTGGTCCTTCAGTTATCAGCTTACTTCTGTCATTTGCTTAGTACCACTCGTAATGTTTCTTGAAATGAATAGATGAACAAATTAAATTCTACACTAGAAGTTAGTTTTTAGAGTGTTTGTTTTTTCCTGTAATTCTTGGTATCTTAGCTTTTAATTATTTCATCTGTTTTTTCTTAGGTTAAGGAATATACGCTATGGCTTCAATACAGTTCTTGTGATCCTGATCTGGCGTATCTTTATTGCAAGATCACAAATGGCAAGAAATATCTGGTACTTTGTGGTTAGTCTGTGTTACAAGTTCCTCTCCTACTTCAGAGCCTCCAGTACTATGCGATACTGAAGAAGATAATTTAGCATTAGGACATCTATGCATACGGTGGTCTAACTGCACAAAGCCTGTAACATGTAGTCATCTCACATTTTGTAAAAGCATAATTTCGTCTTAAATTGGAGTGCGAAATATACAGTGTGGTATATGTAATGTTAGTTGTGTATCGTCCTGGAAACAGAGAAAACAATGGTCAAGTGCCAGGTTGAATTTGCATTAGACAAGCATTTAAGTAGCTTCAGCTCTTTGACCTGGGAAAACATTTTAGACCACTGACCAACAGAACTGTGCAATTTGGAACGTGTTTGATTGAAATCTGCCTTAACATGATTTTTTCTTTTAAGTTCTACTCTGCATTGAGCAAGATAAATATTGACTTAATAGTTGCTAGTTGCTGTAGATCTATTTATTTGAAATTCTTCTAAATTACAAAGGTTTTGCAAAAAAAAGTTACAAAAGTGTATAAATGATGGTGGATCTCCTGAAAAAATTATTTGAGGACTTTTGTAATTTGTCTTTACTTTTTGCTACTTCTTCCCTTTTCAAAGTAGAGATGCAACAATGGTGCCTACTTTGCTTTAAAAGAAAAAAAAAAAACCCACCACCCCAGCCTTCCTTAATTACTGAAAAGCCTTTTGTCTGATCTGGTCTTCAGAATGCCCTTAGTGATTCAGTTCTGTGCTCGAAACTGCGTCCAACTTGCATTTATGTCAGCATAAACAATTTGCTTCTCTGAAAGCAGAATTGATCCTGTCATTGAATAGATAAAAGGAAATGTAACCCTGAGGGAGGCAAGTATAAAGTCATTGACCGTTGTCTTCTTTTAATGATTTTTTTTTTATTGGGAACATAGAGCCAGCACTTGATTATTACACTTTTGGCTTCAAAGGGTAAATGTATTTGAAAGGAATTTATTATGCTCAGTTGCTATTTATATTACTGGTAATAGTTGGACAAACTATGGGCTTTCATGAAGAGATAAGCCTGTTTTTAAATTCTAAGCAATGTTAGCAAATACTTCATGAATTAATAATCTTTTAAATCTCTGGGCTATGAAATTTGATGCACAGACAACACCAATGCATAAGCACGCTTTCTCACACCCCTGCCCCAATAAAACCTCTTATTTCACTGGGAAAGCAGAGCAAGATGCATCTTGCTTCATAATTAAAGTACGTTAACAATTCTTCCATCTATCTTTAAATTATTAGGTTTAAATCTGAAGAAATAGGTTTTTTCTGCATGTTGCTTAGTTTCAGTAGGGAAGACATTTGTAAAAATAGCAAGTTCTAAGAAAAGATTGAATCCTTGTTTAAAGCAATACATGAAGATCTCTTTAAATTTTGTTTGCACAGAGTTTGTCTGAGAACGCTGTAATGTTCCTCTAATTGATGCACTGACCGGTACCCTTGCGCAGTGTTTGTTCATTAAAATCAGTTTATACTGATGAATATGTTCTTGAATCTGCTTGGAAAGGCAAATAATGACTTAATTACACAAGAGCTGTATGTTATACTTGCCCTTGGTATTTTTTGTCCTATTTGAATTAAGTATGTAAAAAAACTTATTTTGCTATTCTTGTGAAAACTCTTACTTTTAAGAGAACACCTTTCGTGCAGGTGTATATCTCATTTTGAAAAGATAGCGGCTTCCTTGTTGAAGCTAAATATTCTATGGTAAGTAGTTAAGCTGATTCCTTTTTAAAATTACCTGTGTATATATAAATCTAGTGATGAAAAGCCGAAATGGTCTAGGACCACACCTTGTGTGAGAGACCTCTGACTGTGGATGAAAACAAATTATGGCTTCTGTGATTGAAGATGCTACACTTTAACAAATACATTAGGTGCATTGCATTTTAACTGCCTCCCAAGTATCTTAGTAGACCTGAAAGGTTAAGCTTTCCTGCATTGTAGACTCTTTTCAGAGGTGCCTACTATCCATTGACACCCCTTGTCCCATGTTGGCATGTGGCTGAAGTTTGAAAAAGACAAATGCGTCATATTCTGAAAATGATTCTGTGAAGCAATTCACTTAGGAATTTTGGTTGTTTATAAATATTATACATGATACTTTAATGTTGTTTTGTTAATACTGAGAACTACGAAGCCTGTGAACTGATTATTTCTGGTCCAAAACACTGCTTAGAAATCTGTTCTTTTGAATAAATAATGAAGAAAAGGATTACTTTAAACATAAGGATATTTAACCACTCTTTAAACGTTTGCCAATTTAGAAACCTAACTTTTCTCCCTCTTTGAAGAACATGGTTCTGTGCACTATTGGTATCTTGCACAAATTCATCAGTCATCATCTTTAACTGACAATAGATTCAGTGTCACACACATTACATTAGTTTCGTCACTTCCTGTAGTCAGTCTGTGAAATTCTATCTGAAACTACTGGGGTTTTTTCCATATCAGAACCCTCTTCTCTTGCAGTTCTTCATACCAGTGTTTGCACATAACAGATGTTGATCAAAAATATACTGGAACTACATTTTGATACAGTAAGTTAGACTCACTGTACTGACTGGCAAGTTACAGGAGGTATTCCAGTTGATTAAATAGGAAGAGCAGCAGTCTGAAATAACATGGTCACTTAACAGTTATTGGTATTTAAATTTGGGACCAGGAAAAAAAAATTACGTTTTCCTGTAATGTTTTTCTCTACAGTAGGAACAGATGTTTAGAAACAGATGCTAAATCCGTGAGCTTTTATAAGACAAACAGAAATATTGGGTGCCTTTGTTTGTAAACCAAAAATAAACAAAACCCTTGAAAGTGTTGTTAGTGTTTATTGTATTTTTGCATGTTTTTAGTCTAATTTGTGGAAAATAACTGGATAGTGTAAATGCCATCCCGATATACCTGAACATAACTCTTTGTGAAAAACCTTGAAAATCCAATTAATCACTAATACTGCATTTTAAAAAACAAAACAAAAACCTTCACAATCACAAAACAAAAAAAGAAAAACAAATGCCCCACAATCTAAAACCTTCATGGGGTGTTATCAAAACACATGGTGAGGTATGCTTGGTTATGGTGACTTTCTTTTATGTCAGCTAGTTTGCTCGTCACTGTCATTGCCTGTTCATTTGTAGTATTAGTTTCAAATTTACTTAAATAGATAGACTTAAACAGATTTACTTAAATAGATTGATGCCTTTTCACGTAGTTTAAAAGGGTACTGTGGTTTTGCAGTGGCTTTTGGCAAGCAACTACAGCTACTAGCAGCATCTGCATTTTTGTGATGAGGGAAGAAAAGGTAGCATTAAGTTACTGCATCACCAAAATGGCTTGATTTTGTGGTTTTTAACTTTAATTTCTTGGAGTCTGCAGATTCCATGGATTCGTTCTCCTTTTGTCGAGAGCACAGTTCTAGAGATCTTGCACGATCTGTAAGCTGTGGTTTGGGATCTACCAGCTTTAAAGCATAGCCTTTCCTTTTACTTGACTTTAAGACTTAAACTACCAAATATAGATGGTTTTTGTTGGTCTCTTTACTTGATTCAAAATCAGAAGCAAGGAACAAAAAAAAGTTTTAAGATGTTATCACTTACATGTCTTGTGCTAGGTTTTTTTGCCCTTTTTTCTTAGTATGGTATTACATCATGCGTTGTTCAAAAACAAAGAGTGGGTAACTTCAATCTGAGAAGTACCCTACACAGAGCTGGGAAGTATAACTCTTCATAATATTTTTTACACATTTCACAGTCTGCTGAGCAGACTTTGAAACTGAAATGAGAAGTCACCAAAGAATGGCCACTCTGGAGAAACGTAAGTGAATTGCTTTAAAGTGTGTTCTTGCTGTTTGTCAATCTTTTTGTGCTGAAGTATGTGCAACTTATTTTCTCTAGCTTGGTGGCACTCAGTGTGTGTTTCAGTAAATCTGTAGAAACTGTAAAATAGTTCCAGCGGAGCTAATATGAATTGTCTGCTTTTATTTTAAATATGTGCTGTACCATCATAAAGTTAGAAGCAAACCTTGACAGGTCTTACATCACTTTAAATTCTAGGTTTTCTTGCTCTTTTCAAGATTATTCTTCATAGCTTCCTCACACAACTCTGGCCTCCTTTCTGTCTGCAGATGACTGCAAGTTAAAGGCTACTTAACTAAACTGTGAGCTGCTTCTCTGCCATCTCGAACTAAATTTAACCTTGCTTCCACTTTCAAGGTATTTATAAATGCTTTCCTCCTTAATGCTATCTTAGTACTTTTCTTCAGTGCCGAGCTGACATTCACTTTGGCTTTCCCTCCTCTGCAACAAATATGACTCACTAATAGTTAATTAGTAATTATGCAACTGTCTTTTCTGGAGTGTGGAGCAATGACAGCTTTGAGCAGCTTTTATTCTTCCTATGAGAAGCAGGAGAAACTGTGACTAATTGGTGAAAGCAAAAGTTCCAACACACTAATGCACTGAATAAAACTGGAGTGCTTAGAGCCATGGGCTCTAGGTAGGGTGAATGGTACTTTTTTACTCTTGATTCAGTTATAGCCAATAACTGCAATTGTAGTGATTATTACCAGAAGCTCTTAATGTCATTTGAAGTGAATTGTTACACCTTTCAGGATGGTAATTCTGTAGCTGCTATCAATTCTGAAAACATTAATATCCTGACATGTAGAAGCAAGGCCTCTTTTGCCTCTTTATGAGCATGTGAAAAAACTGAAGTATGAACTTAGCATAAGATTTTTCTTTTGACATGAAAAAATTAAAACCACCACTTGGTTAAAATTTTCTGGGGTGTAGAACAGACATTAAATCTTAAATTGCCCTTGCCTCATACAGTAGAAGTTTTCACTGCATCCTGTGTGTATGCCCCGTCTCTGCTGTAGAAACAGCAATTTAGTCTACTACCAGGAGTGTCAGAAAGTAGTTGTGGTATTCTTGTTTTAATCAACAAACATCTCATTTACCACTTAAGTGAAAATGATTCAGTAGTTAGCCACTATGAACTTCTAAGTATTGTGTCAGCCTTAATCTAGATTCAAGGCAGCATCATGTAGTGGAATATTTTTATCCTTATGAAACTGGTTATCTCATCCTTTCCTTCATTCCTGATGTAATTATCCCAGAACTTGATGTCTGGGGACACAAATAGTTACACTTAATGTTTTAGGCACCTAACTTGGATGGAATTCAAGGATCTAAAGTTAGGAGACTGGATTTCCTCTATTACACAAATTTCTTAGTATGATTCAGAATCGGAAGGCAAATGCTTAAAATAAGCAGGGACTTCTCAAAAGCAGTCGCGTTGTGGGGTAGGGAGAGAAAGACCTGTGGAAGTGAAAGGAAGTGGTTAAATTATGG